TCATCTCATAAAGCTTTGTCTGGTCCTTTGTTTCTTTTTTGTCTTACAGGTATTTTGCTTGCATGTCATGGTTTCTGATTATGTGCTTTTATGGGATCTCTCAGTGTGTGAATGTATGTATCTTTACATGTTCTTGTGAATTTTTGTGACTCTATTCTTTCTATTTATTTTGTCTTATTCTGGTTTGTTTAGTGTACTTTTCTTTCTTTCTTTTTTATTTTGTATTCCCCTTTGTTCTCTAATAAAAGATAAAAAGAAAAGTGTGAATTTGGGTGAATAGAGAGGTGGAGAGAATCTGGGAGAAGTTGGAAGAAGATAAAAACATTAACAGATTATTTAATGTAAAAATATATTTAAAAAATAAAAACCTTAATTTTTGTAAACTTTGTTACTAAAAGGTCTGAAAATAAATATAAGAATTACAAACCAAAATTAAGCATACAAAAAGCATATACAATATAATGTACTTAAATACAGTTATAATTTATATTGGAAACAGAAATTGTAAAGTTTCACATCAAATTTTACACTTTCAGAATTTAATATATTTTACTCACTCACTCATCACAAAAAAAAATCCAAACAAAAATCATGACAGAATTAGAAAGAGAGAAAAGTTTCAGTAGAATCTTTTAAAAACAAAAAATCCTGGAGCATTATACTTCAACTTCTAAAACACCACAGATGCCAGTGTAGGGTACTCTACCATGCAAAACTATCTGCATAGTTGAAGAAGAAAGAAAAACTTTTCAAGATATAAACAGTCTAAATACTTTATGTACACTAAGCCTGATCTACAGAAAATATTAGAAGTAATACTTTAGGCTGAAGAGAGGAAATTGCATACCAAAGAGTGTGTAGAAAGAATGAAAGGTAAAACTATAATTATTGAAGTAAAAATATGACTAAGGACAAAGATAGTATAAAAGCATCAAGAAGACAGCAATCAACTCACATCTTTCAGTAACTTTAAATGGTAAAGGATTCAACTCCCCAACCAAAAGACACTGACAGTTCAATGAACAAGAAACAAAATACATCCTTTCATTATCTACAAGAAATCCAGTGTGTCTTCAAAGTTAGTCACCATCATAGAACCAAAAGACTGGAAAAAAATTTCGATCAAATGAGACCAGGAAACAAGTTGATGTCAATTTCCTAAAATCTTATAAAATGGACTTCAAACAAAATTCATCAGAAGATATGAAATAGGATACTTGATTCTGGACAAGGGACCAATAAGCCAAGGAAACATTACAATCCGAAGCACATGAAGTCTACACACTGCTACACCCAATTTCTAAAATAATATATTTCTAGAAATCAAGGGACTTATTGACTTCAATTCAGTATTATTGATTTCAGTATCCTGCATTGTCAAACACACAGCTCATCTGGACAAAAATAAATGGAGAGAAACAAGATCTAAATGACACTACATCCAATGTACCTCACTGATACTCCAGACAAAAAACTCAAGAATATAAATTGCATCCAGCAGCCCATGAAAGTTTCTATAAAATAGATGACAAGTCACATATATTAATAACACAAAACAAAAGCCAGTAATACAATACAATTTCAATAACTCCACTGATTCTGTCTGTTCAAAATATAATTACACAGTAAATAATAACAATATAGCAATAAAAACCTCTAGAAGCCGGGCGGTGGTGGCGCACGCCTTTAATCCCAGCACTCGGGAGGCAGAGCCAGGCGGATCTCTGTGAGTTCGAGGCCAGCCTGGGCTACCAAGTGAGTTCCAGGAGAGGCGCAAAGCTACACAGAGAAACCCTGTCTCGAAAAACCAAAAAAAAAAAAAAAAAACCTCTAGAAAATATATAAACTTATAGAGATTATATGATACACTCTCAAAGGATAAATGTTTCATGAAATAAACAAGAAAGAAAGTTAAATGTTCTTGGATACACATAGAAAAGAAAACACAAAACAGCAAATATCTTGGACTTGCTAAAAGCAGTACTTTCAGGGAAATATATGTGCCTGGAAAAATAAAAAAAAAATTATACAAATATATCTCTTAATTTTTAAATTCCAGAATTAGGTAAAACAAAAAGCAAACAGTCCTAGGTCTAGTACATTGGACTATATATTAAAAACCTGTACAGAAACTAGTGTAAGAGGAACACAAACAGCAAATGAAATTAAAAGGTGGATCTTCAAAAAGAAAACCATCCTGACAGTATCTTATCAGAATTAAACAAACAAACAAAAGAGACCTAATAAATAAAAATCACACATAATTAAGTAAATATTACAATAAACATCAAAGAACTTTACAATGTTATAAGGGAATACTTAACAGCCTACAACTTATTAGACTGAAAAAAGATTAAGGAAGGAAATGAATTTCTATACAGATCTGAATGACCAAAGAAAATCTGAGAAGCAATGAACAATGTAAACACACAAACACAAATAAGTTGACTGTCCCAGGAATACAAAAGCCTTCATTATAAAAGAGCTCTGTTTCAAATGCGTTCAAAATTAAAATCTAATGTATTTTCAAATAAGACTTTCAACCATTTTTATTTATGAAAATTTTCATTATGCAGAATCATTTTTTTTCAGTTTGCTGACTGATATAGACAGAGTAGGATGGAATAGAGCACAGAATTTGCAGTTTGGGTTGGGCATAAAGGCGGGAGATGGTTTAAGTGGAATGAAATTAGATGAATACAATATATTGGGCTGGCATTCAGATATATGTATAGGTTTGTGCCTAGAACTGAGGATGGTGCAAGCAAAGTTGTCCAGTCCAGACCATTATTAAATTTAATAATTTATTATTAAATATAAAATTTTTCTTTTGAATAATTACTGAAGTATTTATTCAAAAGATAGAAATAGAAGGAATACTTGCAAACTGCTTCTAAGACACCAAAATTATTCTAATAACAAAGTGGGGAGAAAACTTTACTCCAGTAATGAAAAAGTAATTATAAACCAATATCACTAGTAAAATTAATTTCAAGGAATACTTGCAAACTGCTTCTAAGACACCAAAATTATTCTAATAACAAAGTGGGGAGAAAACTTTACTCCAGTAATGAAAAAGTAATTATAAACCAATATCACTAGTAAAATTAATTTCAAACTCTCAATAAGAATTGCAAAACAAATATCAGCATAAAACAAACAGATCATTGGGCCACATCAAGTTGCCTTTTCTAAGATATGCAAGTCAATAAAAAAGCACATTATACAAATAGACTTAAATACAAAAATATCATGATCTCCACAATAGTTGAGTAAATACCATTAATAAAAATCAGCCTGCCATGCTTAAAGATCTAGGGAGGAAATTATATATGGAGACATACTTCAACATAATTAAGGATATATTTTGACTAGACCAAAGCCAATATTGTTCTAAAGAGGAAAAAATAAAGCCATGCTACTATAATTAGGAAAAGTTCACAATGTATACTCTCTCTTAATTACTGTGTTTCCAGTCATAGCTAGAAAAAAATGAATAGATAAAAAAGATAAAGGTATATAAATAGGAAAATAATTCAAATTATCCCTGTTTACATATGTTACAGTACATATAAAAAGATCAATAAATAGCACCAGAAAACTTACCAGAAATTAAGAACATAGCTTTTTCCAAAATTGTCAGGTCAAAATTAATACATATATGAAGAAAGATACATTATAGGCAGAGAAAGAAATGCTGAACATGCTTTCATTCACATTCAAGTTTCACAAGATAAAAGATCAAAACTAAAATTCCCTTATGCATCACATATAACCACTACTCCAACCCACATTTTGGACATTTGTTATCAGGGTCTATTCAGATAAGTCCACCTCATCCTCTCCTCCACATGACTTTCCCAACCTCCAGATCTACACAAGGCCCCACATCCATTGTCCTGGTCTATTCTGAATAACCAATCAACTTTACTCCAGAATTCATGATCTGGACACAACCCATGTCTCCCTTCCACAACCTATATATCCCTTGAATACTGCACCACAATTCTCTGCCCAGATACATCCTATACAACTTGTCAACATTTCTAGACAGATGAGTCTGCCTGATCCCCTTCTTTATACTCCAAACCCAACCCCTAGATCAAACCTGTACCCAACCCATTGTTCTGGTCTGGACTGGATCATCCCTCTTGCACTATTCCCAGTTCTAGACACAACCCTGTACATATATCATGAATGCCAGCCCAACTTGTGGTGTCCATATTATTTCAAATCCAATTAAACCTTCTCCAGCCTTTCTGCTCAACCCAAACTTCACATTCTGTGCTCTATTCCATCCTACTCTATCTATGTCAGTCAGTAAACTGAAAAAATGTTTCTGCATACACTGAACTCATCATAAAAATACAAATAAAATAAAAAAGATCAAAGCAGTATCCCATCCTCTCTGAATTCAGCAGTCTAACAGAAATGGTCTCCAACAAGAATTACCCAGATGAAATATGGGACAAAGAATTTGAGAGAACCATAGTAAACATCAAAGAATAAATGGAGTTTAAAGAAGACATGAAGAAAGCGCTGAATGATTTTGAAGAAGCATTAACATAAGGAGAATAAACACTTGAATGATCTCCATGGAAACAAAAACATAAAGTTGATTAAAATGATGACGACAACCCAGGATTTCAAAACCCATTTATTAATGGAATAAAACCTTTGAAAATAACTGAAGATGAAACACAGATGGGAGATTCCTCTAATTATTATACAAATAAGACAACACAAGAATTCTGGTCTCCAAAGGCATACACTGTGATATCTTCTTTCCCCAAAATACAATAATTATCAAGACAGAGTTGTGATTGTGTTCTGCTTATTGTGTAATTTTGTGCTCTCACTTTAATAGTAGATTTTTAAAATAAATAAGTACAGGGAAAATAATTTGGTTTTAAAGATATTTTCCAATGGTATCCATTTATTGGATTTAAAGAGGAATACGAAAGAGAAAGGATGACTGTGTTCATAATGTTTACACTTACTTGTTTCATTAGAAATCTCATTTTCTGGGCAAGGAGTACAATCAAAACAACAGATAGCCTTTCCTTCCATATGTGCTTTCCTGAATCCAGGAGTACAACTCTCACTGCATAGTGATTGTGGGGTCTGAGGAAAATCAGAAATGCACTAGTAACTACTTCATCATTCATGCAACATAACAATAAATACAGTGACTCAGTGAACAGGAACTCTACAACATAATATTGTGTTCTTCAGTTAAACTGATTCTTTAGAAGTTTTTTGTTTGTATATATGTTCATGGCCTAAAGATAGTTCTCTAATCCTGATATTCTCTGAGAATTCATGAAAACTGTACAATTTGCATCCTGATAAATTCATGTTCACTAAATTGTACTTTGTAGATATTTTGAACCTGGTACCAGATGTTTTTCACTTGCTATTTGACTGTCATATGGAGAATTATTTCCTCTGCTGTGGACTTTTAGTGTAATACCACTGTATAAGACAAATACCAATAAAATACCTGACTATGGTATACAGCAATCTATATTATGTGTATTAGTATAGGATTAGAGTTCCTTAGTCAATTTTATAGTGATGAATGTTAACAAAGACATTGTATTTGGATCTTATGAAAAACATAAATCTAATGCAAAGATTGACAAATACACAAGACCAATTCTATCAGTATAAACAAAAATTCCTTAAATCATATTTGAGAAATGTACATTGGAGGCCAAGAACAGAGTAACCAGAAATCAAGAATAATAAAAACAAGAATATGATGCTAGTTATTTGTAGTTCAAAATATTATGTTAGCTTCCACAAACCTCGGTAAATCCTAAGGCCCACTCTATCATGTCCTCATGTAAGGACAATTGCTGACCAGGAGGTGCAAATGGAGAAAACATTCCTACTTTCAACATGTGCACAAAATTTATTGGAAAATGGCAATAGTTGAGGATATCATATTCTGCCACAGATTTCCTTTTCTCATCCAAAATGACTTGGTTAGAATCCAAATGATAAAGCTGAGTATTCCTTAGAAAGTAGTGCAGCTAGGAGCAATGAATGGCCCAGGTCAATCAGAAAGCAATATATGGAAAAGCCCTTCATCTCTTTTATTCATTATATCACAAGTCAGATTTACCACAACAATGAATAAAGCATAACAAGTTCAATGGTATAAAAAACTAAAATTTCCTAACGTTCCTAAGGTCAATAAGATGAAACAAAATGCACTATGAATTAGAACATAATTAACTGTTGTTCATCCAGATCTCAGTAGTGTAGTGAAATCTTGACATATTAAAAGATGATCTTGAGATATATAGGTGATATGTATTCTCATGTAGTTATTAATACACAAAGTCCACTTTAAACAGATCATTTTTGTACAATACCCATGTTTTCTCAGCAGCACTTAGGCATTCCTAAAGGTATTTTATATATTGGTGGATCTAAAGCAATTCCTAATCAAACCATCATTTTTATATAGAAAATATTTTTCTACTAAAGAAATAACTCTAGCAAGATATCATCTGATTTCTATGTGAATCCTGTATCTCATATGTGTATTGGTGTACACACACACGTAAATTTTACAAAAAACAAAATGAGAATGTTGACATAAAATGAATTTCCCATTTCATGTTGGTAATTTGTTCATCAATATGGTATCATTACTTACTATATTCTGTCTTACTGCAAACTGCAAAAAAATTTGTGTCTAAGATTTCTGTAAAATCTCACCCACAACTGGTCACTTTCTGTTCCCATAAATTCTTTCTTGAGAAAATTGTCTTTCTTATAATCTGTGCCATCCAAAGAAGTGTCCATTACCTTCCAGGGGAAATGCACCAGTCTCTTTAAACCCCCTCGTCCCTGAAATTCTACTTGATGAAGAAATAAATCATGAAGAATGCGGGCCACAGCATACACAGCATTGTATAGGTTGTAACTCTCCTCACTTATGGCCATGTCAATAAACGGATAAGGTGACATTCCCATGGAGGCATTGAGTGGACAGTTCTCCAGTTTTGTACAGTCAGACTCAGAAAATGAACAATCAAAAATTAAAGACCAATGTATAGCTAAGTAAATATCATTTGGGTATTTCGAGGGGTTAATAGCATGGATAAATTTTCTAAAACCTGCAATTTCCTTATGGTGGTGTGAAAACATGAGAGAACCATGAAATGGATGTAAGAACATACTTTGTTTCATTTTGAAAGAATGATATGGTGAGGCCATGACCCAGACTTTTTGTGTCATTAGAGATTGTTCTACCATGTGAAAGAATGTGATCAGTGAATCAGAGTCAAAATAGACTATAATCACATTTACTGATGATTTCAAGATGTGAAGAATTTTATCCACTTTAATATCTGGAGATGCTAATGATCTACCGAGTGACATAATTTCCACAAAGGCCATACAGATACCATTCTTGTCCATTTCTATTCTAAAGTCAGACCAAAACTGAAGGCTTCTTTCATCTTCTGAGATACAAAGTCCCACCCAGTTCCAGTGGAAATAAAGGATTAAAGAGATCATAGCATGGGCCAGAAAGGTGTCTTTAGGTGCCATCTGATATATAGAAGTTAAATGGGTATTGCCACTCAGGATGGGATCATAACGCCCAATGGTGAGCTAAGAGAATAAGAGAGTTAATAATAATATGAAGATAAGTCTTGCACAATTATGAAGCCTATTTGTACTTAACAATAGCTATAAGTTTGGGAAGGAAGATTGGCTCTTTTCATAGTTGTAGTCACCACCTAAATCCTCAGAATGTTTTGGAATATTCATAATTAGTCTCAGATTCAGGAAAATACATTGTCTTCTACAACTTCTACCTCTAGTCTATTCCTAACGAAGATCCCTCAGTAATTAAGTTTAAACAGAAATTTTGCATGATGAATAAATCTAGTCTCCACTTATCATTTTCCTCCATGAATACATCATTATCACTGAACAAATAATCAATACATTTCACTCTATTCGTGCAATACTCACCTGTGGAAATTTGTACAGCTCCAGCAGTTCTCCAAAAAGAGCAGATGCTGTCCATGATGGTCCTGTAATTAATACTACAGACTTGCTCTCTTTCCTACAGTTATAATTAGGAATCATTCTGTCAATCCCTGAAATCCACTTTAAAGAAATATACATTGTGTCTGCATCAATAAATGGGAAATTATTTGCATCAATTCCCAAAGTCATGTTTGGTAAAATATTAGAGTTTCTGTTGACCTCTTCAATGGCAAAAAGGAAGGACAGAAAAAACATGTAGGTCTTGAGCTTAAGCCTATAAAGATGGAAAGGAATCATAAAGAGGAGGGTGCAAGTCATGATTTTATTCAAGAATAATGTAATAAGTTTAAAGATTGTAGTTCATATAGCGAACAATTAAACACACTGAATTTTTACTTTGCCAGCATTTATTAATTGTACAAAATATTGGATTTTATCATTAGAGTTCATAGATGTTTATAATATAATTTGGTCCTTTTCAATTGGCTATTAGCAAAATAGTCCTCCCTCTCTTGTGGTTCCCCTTCCTCTACTGTAAGTTCTCCTAATACTTTCTATTCCCTCTCATATTTAATTTAATAATTACTATTTTGTGTATACATACTGAGAACTTTATGACTACACACTGCTGATTCTATTTAGTTTTGCTCATAATGTAATATATGTATGTATATGAATACAAGTTATTATTCATATCTATTTAATTTATATATTTTTTGAATGAATAATTGGTATTGGATAACCAGTTTGGTGACTCATTCCTGTCAAAGACCATTTATCCTCCTCTTGGCAGTCATTAATAGCCTGTAGGAAAAGGGCTAGGGGTTCATGGTATTTTCTCCACTCATGTGGCTAAGTCTACTAGTGCTGTCACTGCTCAAGCCTTGTTTAGGCTACCATACCATTGAGAATTCATTTGAACAGATTTTTTTCCTATGTAGAGCATACAATCTCACAGAAGATGTCCTCATCCTCTGTCTTTTAGAATCCTTCTATTCCTTCTTTCATGATATTTCCCAGACATATGTGTAGGAATTGAAGATATATCTATTAATTGCATTTAGGTACCCCTTAGTAACTTGTTATCTGTATACCAACAAGCTGTGGATTTCTGTAATTTAATTTTCTCTATCTATTGCAAAAATAATTTGTTTTGACAAAGAGTGAGAGTGAGAGCTACATTTATCTGTAAGCACAAGGATAAATATTTAGAAAGTAGTTAGAAATTGCACTGGTTTAAGAAAGTGTGAAACACGTCCCCTGTGCTCCATATTCTGGCCCACAACTCTAACGGCCTTATCAGAGGCTGTTTGGATCTTGGGACCAAGCCCTAGATTGAACCCTCTCTCTAGGCTACATATTCCCACCCACAACTCCAGCTTCTTTACCAGAGTCCAGGCTGGTCCAACGCATCCCAGGTAAGACACCACCCACTGCCAACAAACACTCCTCAAAGCCTACTCAGCATCTCCAGACTGCATCCCCTTGCCTGGGCTCCATAATCTGTCCCACAGATTTGGCACAAAACTTCTGTTTAACACATGGAAAGCCTGATTCTAGGAAAATTATGTCAGATTCTGCCCACTCCCAATTAACAATCTCTAAAGATGGCCCAACATCTCCAAATGTACCCTCTCTCCTGACCTCTATATGGCAGACCACAACTTCAGGAGAAAACCTCTGCTTTATTAGAGGCCATACCAGTATAAATATTACAGAGACCAATCAGGTACCTAGAACCCCAGAGGCCGTACTTGTACTTTAAAACTCAAAGGCAATATGGGTATACAAAAATTCAGAGTTCTTGAAGGTGACAAAAACAACAGCAGAAACACTCTACTGGGTCTGAAGACTCGCTAGTCACCAGAACCCCTTGCCACACAGTCCAGAAGAACAGAAATGAAACTGAAACCAAGGAACAAAACACCCATCTAACAAAGACAAACTCAGGAACTAATAACTATAGTCATCCAAAACCAGATGCCTACATGCCAGTGTGAGAACACAATGAACAACAGAAAGGGCAATATGGCATCATCAGAGCCTAGCTATCCTACGACAGCAAGAACTGAACATTCCCACCCAGCCGAATCACAAGAAGATGACCTTAAGAACAACACTATGCAGATGATAGCATCTTTAAAGAGGAAATGAAAACATCTCCTAAAGAAATTCAGGGGAAGACAATCAAAATATTGGAGGAAAGCAATAAATTCCTTAAAGAAAGTCAAGAAAATAAACAGGTGAAGGAAGCTGTTCAAGTCCTGAAAATGGAAATAGAAAAAATAAAGAAATTACAGAGGGAATTCTGGAAAGGGAAAACCCAGGTAAGAGAACAAGAAATAAAAAGGAAGCATCACAAACATAATACAAAAGAGGGAAGACAGAATCACAGGCAATGAACATACAATAGAAGAAACAAATTTATAGGTCAAAGAAAATGTTAAATCTGACAATTTTCTAACACAAAAATTCAGGAAATCTGGGATGCTATGGAAGGACCAAACATAAGAACAGGAGAAGAATCCTTGCTCAAAGGCCCAGAAAATATATTCAACAAAATCACAGAAGAAAATTTCCTTTACCTAAAGAAGAACATTCATATAAAGGTACAAGAATCAAACAGAATACCAAATAGATTAGACCAGGAAAAAAGTTCACGTGCCACATAATAAAGACATTAAATATACATAATAAAGAAATAATATTAAAAGCTACAAAGAAAAAAGGCCAAATAACCCATAAAGGCATATGCATTAGAATTACACTGGGATTCTCAGTGGAGAGCATAAAAGTCAGAATGCCTTGGACAGATGTCTTGCATACTCTACAAGACCATGGATACAAGCCAAGACTACCAGCAAAATTTTCAATCACCATAGATGGAAAAATCAAGATATTTCAAAAAACTTTCAAATTTAAGCAATATCTCTCCACAAATATGGCTCTATAGAAGGTAATAGAAAGCAAACACAAACACAAGGAAGTTAACTACTGCTATAAAATCACAGGCAAAAATAATTTCACACCAACAAAAGGCAGAGAAAGGAAACACAGACATACACACAGACACAGACACACACACACATGCATGCACTATCACCACCACCAACAAGAATATAACAGAAATTACCAATCATTAGTTATTAATATCTCTCAATATCAATGGACTCAATTTCTCAATAAAAGGACACAGGCTAGCAAAATGGATACCATCCTTCTGCTGCACTCAAGAAACAAACCTTAACACCAAAGATAGACATTACTGCAGAGTAAAGGATTGAAAATGATTTTCCAAGCAAATGAAGTAAAGGAGGGAGCTAGTGTAGCTATGCTAATCTAACAAAATAGACTTCCATCCAAAATTAATCAAAGGAGACAGAGAAAGATATTTAATACTCATCAAAGGAAAAATCCTCAAAGATGATGTCTCATCTTTGAACATCTATGCACCAAGTGCAAGGGCATCCAAATTTTTCAAAGAAACGTTATCAAAGTTCAAATAACACTTTGAACTTAACACATCAATTGAAGGAGACTTCAATACCTCACTCTGACCAGTGGACAGGTCATCTAGACAGAAACTAAAAAGAGAAATAATGGAGCTAACAGACATTTTGACACAAATATACCTAACATGTATATACAGAACATTTTATCCAAACACAAAAGAAGATACCTTCTACTCAGCACCTCTTGGAACATTCTCCAAAACTGACCATATACTAATTCACAAAACAAGTCTCAACAGATGCAAGAAATTCACATATACCACTGTTCCTTATCAGACCATGATGGATTAAAGTTGTAGTTCTACAAGAGAAATGACAAAAAGCCTGCAAACTAATGGAAACTGAACAACTTTCTACTCTATCACTACTCAGTCAAGGAACAAATAAAAGATCAAGACTTTCTATAATTCAATGAAGATGAATTCACAGCACACCCAACTTATGGGACACAATGAAAGTGATGCTAAAAGGAAAGTTCATAGCACTAAGGGCCTTCATAAAGAAATTAGAGAGATCTCATGCTAGGGGCTTCATGGCATATTGGAAAACTCTAGAACAAAAGAAGCAAACGCACCCAAGAGGAGTAGACTGCAGGAAATAATCAAACTGAGGGATTAAATCAATAAAACAGAATCAAAGAGGACAATATAAAGAAAGAAATGAAGAAATGGTTCTTCCAAAAAAAATCAACAAGATAGGCAAATCCCTATTCAAAGTAACTAAAAGACAGAGAGTAGATTCTCAAATTTAAAAAGATCAGAAATGTAGAGGAGGATATAATAGCAGTCACCAAGGAAATGCTAAGATTCATTGGGTCATACTTCAAAAACCTGTACTCCACAAAACTGGAAAATCTAATAAAACAAAATGAACAACTTTTCAAAAGATATCACTTACCAAAATTAAACCAATATCAGATAAGCAATTTAAATATAACTATAACCACTAAGGATATAGAAGCAGTCATTAAAATCTCCCAAGCCTAAAAAGATTCATTGGGTCATACTTCAAAAACCTGTACTCCACAAAATTGGAAAATCTAATAAAACAAAATGGACAACTTTTCAAAAGATATCACTTACCAAAATTAAACCAATATCAGATAAGCAATTTAAATATAACTATAACCACTAAGGATATAGAAGCAGTCATTAAAATCTCCCAAGCCTAAAAAAGCCTAGGCCAGATGCCTTTAGCACAGAACTTCACCAGACCTTCAAAGAAGAGCTAATAATAACAGTCCCCAAAATTATTCTATGAATAATAGAAACAGAACATCACAAATTCATTTTATGAGCCCAGAGTAACCCTGACACCCAAACCACAGAAAGACTCAAAAAATAAAGAGAATTCCAGAACATTATCATTATAAACTGATGCAAAAAATTCAATAAAATAATTGCAAACTGAATCCAAGAACACATAAAAAAGATAATCCACCATGATCAAGTAGGCTTCAGCCAGAAGATACAGGGATGGTTCAACATACAAAAATCTGTCAATGTAATCTACCCTATAAGCAAACTGAAAGAAAAAAATCACGATCATCTGATTAGATGCAGAAAAGGCTTTTGACAAAATCTAGAGACAAAATCAAAATCAAAATCTAGATGCTTTATGACAAAAGTCTTGGAGTGGTCAACAATGCAAGGCTCATGCCCAAACATAATAAAAGCAATTTACTGTAAGCCTATAGTCAACACCTAATTAAATGGAAAAAAATTCAACACAACTCCAGTAAGATAAGGAATAATACAAGGCT